CTTCTGTTTCTGGGTAGAGTTGTCCTTTCTGTAGTCATCTATATGATTCTTGTTTTTGAATCTGTTCGTTGTTCATGATGTACAAGTGTTTTCCGTGTAGCTTCTTTTGTGACCATTCCTCTATTCTCTGTTGTGTTTGTATTTGATTATTATTATTATTATTATTATTATTATTATTATTATTATTATTATTATTATTATTATTATTATTTTGGATCATGTGTACACTATACTAGATCTGGGCATTTTGTTTGATGGTCACTCACATTTATTTTAGGGATTCAAGGTTGATAGTATTAAACTCAGGGCGATTTGCAGCAGTTATGGAGAATGCTATGTAATGAGTCTTATCTATATTTAAAGTGAGTTTGAAAGAGTCCAACCAGTATTTCACCCTTAATAAACCCTGTGTTGCCAGATCCCTGGTTTGGTCCCTCGTTTGGGCCCAAGTTTCTCCCACAACAGTATTGTCTGTGTATGATATCAATGAACCGTTTTCTATGAATAAATTCCTCAGAGAATGTATATAGGCAAGAAAGAGAAATGGGCGAAGTACTGTTCCCTATATGGTATTCCTATGTTTACATTTAAATGATTACTGTGAGTAGTGCCAATTTTCAGAACTTGTTCTCTATTCGTTAGATAGCTCTCGAAGACATCCAGCACAGCTCCCCTCACTCCATACATGCTTAAAACATTCAAGAGGGAGGCATGGGGAACCGTGTCAAATGCCTTCGCGAGGTCTAAGAATACAGCAAGACATTTTTTGTTGTTATCCAGGTTGTGTGTTAATAATTTTGTGAGTTCATATACAGCATCCGATGTGCTTAAGCCACTGATGAAGCCAAATTGTCTTTTTGAAAGAATATAATTTTTTTGTGAAAATTCAACCAATCTATTTTTTAGGCATTTTTCGGATATTTTTGCAAAGTTATTGATTACACTAATTGGATGATAGTTATTTATGAAGGCTTTTTCTCCTGATTTAAATATAGGTGATACAACAGTCATTTAAAAATGTGCAGGCAGTTTACCAAATTTGAAAATTAGATTTATAATATATACTAATAAAGGGGTAGCCAGATAAATATGGAAACGTTTAATGAATCTAGAGTCCACTGCATCGATTCTAGCTGCGCAATTGTTATTTAATGAGTATATTTGTTCAATTATTTCATTTAACGGGTCTGAGTTACATAGAGCCTGAGGGGCTCGGCTAGGTAAGGAAGCTTGATGCAACTGGTATCGATCAACAGGGCTTTTTATTTTTTCTAGCATTTTTCCTCCAACATTCACGAAATAATCAGTGCAGTAATTTGCCATGTCAATATTATTTAAAAAAATTATTGCCCTGTAAATTTTTCTTATCTTTTATGGGATTTTGATTTATGGCTTTATTTATGACCGAGTTTACGACTTTATACATTTTTTTTTTAAATCCTTTCCACTGCTTTCAATTTTTTTTTCAAATAGCCACATTTACATTTGTATAATAATTTATTGAGACAGTTCCTATATTGTTGGTATCTTTATTCATGATCAGTGTTGAAATATTTTCTAAGCTGCTTTTTCATTTTGTTCCTATGCCTTTGATGTGACAATAGCAGAAGTGATCCAAGGATTTTTTTTTCTTCCCTATACCTTACAATTTCTATCTCTTTTCAACTTTTGAGCAAATTTTTTATAATATCCATGAAATTCTTAGTGGCGATTTCAACATTAGTTGTTCCAGCCATGGTTTCCCAATCCTGTCCACTCAGCAATTCATCTAGCTTTCCATAATTAATTATTTGATATATATATATATATATATATATATATATATATTATGATAAATGTATTTTGATTCTTTTGGGCAATTGTGGACTCTCCATGAAAATAGAGAAATGTTGGATAATGATTGATAATGTCAGAGTTCAAAATAAAGGAATTGTGTTTGATTGAATTAGATATTTGTTTTTTCCGTATAAATATATGGTCTATACATGAACTGCTCATAGCTGTTACTTGTGTTGGGCCATTTATACAGGATTCAAAACTATAAGAAAGTAAAAGAGACAAGTTACTATTGGTGTCAATATTTTCTTCACCTAGTATGTTAACATTCAAGTCCCCTATGAGTATATCAATGGACAATGATTGAAACAAATACAATGACTTGTTAAATAACATATGCAAAAGGAATTACAAGAGTGCACGAACAATGGAATCCCCTTGCGTCCCAAGGTGTTTTTATTGTGAAGTTCAACTATCTTATTTTATATTTATTCTTCAGAAATAGGGTTGAAATTAAAATGTTCTGTCCGATTATTGGAGAATCGTTTGTATCATAACATAGGTCCATTAGACATTGGACCCCATGGATCATATTTCCGAATCTTCCCGGATATGACATGGACTCGACACATTCTAAGCATAGCGCCAGATAAGAATATGAGAGAGATCCGATAAGGTGAATCAAATATAGGGTTAGCGCAAGGAAGCATTCTGGGTCCAATCCTTTTCGTTATATTTTTAAACAACATATCTCAATTAATGACAGCGCCAAATACCATTATCATAAATTATGCAGATGACACAAACCTTTCAATGGCTGTAAAAAAATTGATGACTTGATTTTGGAAGCAAAAGGTTTCCTTTCACAAATAACAAATTGGTTTCATGAAAACAGATTAATTCTTAATCAAGATAAAACTAATATAATAATGTTTAGAATAAAAGGATCGAACATAATTAAACCAAGCCAGTTACAAACTGATGACAAAAATTTAGATATTTCTGGAAGCACAATGTGTTTAGGTGTCAATATCAATGAGTTTTTGGATTGGTCAAGGCATATAGACATTTTAATAAAAAAAAAACTGAACTCAGTGAGCTTTGGAATAAGAGTTGTTGCCAAATACATGAATGAAAAGACACTAAGAATAATATATTTTGCAAACTTTGAGGCAGTGTTAAAATACGGTATTATGTTTTGGGGAGGGTATATTGGGATACAGGATGCTTTTATCGCTCAGAAACGTGTGGTTAGAATCTTTAAAATAATGAAATATTTACAGAGTTGTAGGGGTGTATTCAGGGATTTAGGTATAATGACTGTTTACGCCTCGGTTTACGGTGTATATATCTACGAATGTGGTTTACACTGTATATATCTACGAATGTTTAATGTTTTATTTTAAAAATAGAGAACTGTTTTCAGACCACATTATTCACGGTTATAACACTCGAAATTTAGATGTTAGATATCCTATACATATATCAACTTCACCAGAAAAATGTCCAAACTACATGTGCCTTAAATTGTATAATGAGCTTTCCGATAGTTTCAAGAGAATTGAACAACAGAAACTCTTTAAGAAAGAAGTGAGAAAACTTTCAACAGACTTGGAGCCTTATAATTTATTGGAATTTTATAATGGGGTTTAATCAGCTAGATATAATTTATTTTTTGTGTGACGACGTTTCACTTTGTATTACTATGTAAGCAATTTTTGAAATAAAGGATTTATTATTATTATTATTATTATATTATTATTATTATTATATTATTATTATTATTATGGCTGTATTGTATTGAACGAGGGGGAAACCACCTTAGAATTTTGGTATACAAACTGATAGAATTTTTTAGAATTATCAGTATTTTTTTTTTTTTTTTTTTTTTCAAATACAAAAGTTTCAATAAATTGTCGAAAAATTTTAAATAAGTCAGTTTGACATACAGGGTGTGTCAAAAAAGTGTAGCAGTGTGAAGTTATATTTTTTTTAAATGGAGCACCCTGCATATTGTGCGCTTATTTGTTAGTCCCTTTTAACCTGATTTCAACGATATACGATTTGATATGTCTATCTTCGATATTTATAGGGAAAAACATGAAAACCCCTTTCAAGTTTTCATATTGAGAAAAAAAAATTATACCATTGAAGCTTTAGAGATTTTTTTTTATGAACAGTTTATTCTCGAGTTTATTGTTCAAGTTTTACTCATTAATATACAAAGTGAAATATTATTATAAATTCAGGTGTCTAAGTTATTATTATTATTTTTGAAAAAATAACATGAGAGACCTACCAAGGGATTTTCGCGTTTTTCCCATCAACTATTGAAGATAAACCGAGAGATAAACATATCAAACCGTATATCGTTGAAATCAGGTTAAAAGGGACTAACAAATAAGCACACAATATACAGGGTGTTCCATTTTAAAAAATATAACTTCACACTGCTGCAAGTGCTGCACTTTTTTGACGCACCCTGTATGCCTAAAACTAACTTAGTTAAAGACTTTTGACAATTTCTTAAAACTTCTGTCAAAAACGTCAAATGATAAAGTTAGCAGGGGGTGACATTTATAATAGCTCACCCTGTACAAACTGATAGAATTTTTAGAATTTCTTGGAATTTTTCAGAATTATCAGTATTTTTTTGCATTTTTTAGTATTTTCTAGCAATTTCTAGAATTATTCAGTATTTTTTAGAATTGAACTAGAATTTTTATCTATTGCGCATGCTCAAGAGCCTGCCCAATTTGTTGGGATTTTTAGAATTTTTTAGAATTTTTAGAATTTTTTGGGACAATAATAACATGAAAATTAGCACTTTCCAGAATTTTAGAATTTTTGGTGGACAAAATTAGGTAGGTGGATTCCCCCTCGGTATTGAATAAAATAAATAGGTATAAAATACTCTACAACCGGTTCTATGAAAGTTGTATTTTAGGTAATTCCAAGAAAAAACATTAGTGAGTGGACTAGCCCGGTTCGGGTTTGAAAAAAGGACGATTCTAGAACGGTTCAAAACAATCGCATAGCTCATCAATCAACAACAATGACAACAGCTCCGGCTCGGCTATCACATATTTCATTAATAAACTGTGTGATTGTTTTAAACCATCCTCATTCCAAACCCGAACAGGCTCTAAACTAATTCAGTACCAAATAGATTTGCATGTGTTGATGGAAGTTCAAAATACTAAAAAGCTAGAATACCTACTTACCACATTTGTGAGGTCATTAACAATAATAGAATCTGGCACAGAGAAGAGGTCACCTGCTCTGGACAAGTCCCTATTTTTCAGAACTTGCATAAACAGCTCATGCATTTTTCTATGGGCCTTTTCCTCATTCATGATTTTGCTGTTTTATTTCACATTTGTTTCTTTTCCACTTGATATGAAAATTATATTGCTTTGGTCAACACATCTGAATAAGGAAATAAAACAAGATATTATTAGTTATGTAAGGTCAATCAGTTGCAAATACCACATCATTGTAGGTATACCTACTTTCTGTTTTTGTGAGTGTTTTTTTACTTTTAGAGGAAAATATCCATGTAAACCCACTTTGGCCACTTTAAGGTTTATGAGGAAATTATGTATAAACCAACAACATATTACTAAAAACTAAGATTTCGTTTATTATGGGCACAAAATATGTGTAAAAAAACTAACAGCAGGGGTTTCCTCACTTTCACAAGCACCAAAAAATGTAAACAGATAGCAGAGAAACCGACACTTGTCAGAAAAATGCTGCGTGTTTGATATTTACCTACCTGTTGATGAAAAAACGAAACATGTTTGGAGTGTAAACCGAAACGGTTTTCCAGCCGGTTAGATTTTGGATTCCTTCTGGTTCGTTAAATAACGGATTGGCACCAGTTTTTACCCAATCACATGATTTTCTAGCTAGTTTTTACAGTAAAAAGTCAACCGCTAAACTCATAACTCAGTGGTCAACGGTCATTGACTTTCTTACAAAACGAAACGAAACGGCAACCTTGGATAGTTACGATTACGAACCCAAACAAATTGTGACAACTAGTCAACGTTAAAAGAGTGGATAATGGCGTAGCGGAGGCTGTGCGTAGCGGCATCATTGAGTGGATTGGGTGCATTCAGTAGACATAGATTTTTTTCAATGGCAAAGAATAGTCCAAATTGAACATCAAATTAATCAGGAATTCAATTAAAAATCCAAATAAGTCAAAATAATATCAGAGACAACCATACTCTTTACGAAGATGACTATTGAGGGAAAAAAGGGCACAAATGCCACAATTTGAAAAAATCCGATAAATCAGAAAACTAACTTATCTGGCAACGTTGAGTGACTGCAATTCAAAAGTCAGGGCCAGTCCTACATTAGTTGTATTCCTTTCAAGAGCTTGAAACACTCGAGCTACTCGCTTCGGTGCTTAGTCGCCCCCGATTTGCAGGGAACATATGCGTGGTGCAAAAAAAACTTTTCGAAAGGAATAAGCGCGTGAAGCCCCGGAGCTGTTCCGGAGCTCCTCCTAGGTGTGAAAGGAATACAACTATAAGGGGCGAGTTCAGGAATGACACACCCAGTGTGAGTGTGACACCGGTGCGACGCCCTAGCTGTTCAAAAATGCTAGACGGTGCTATGGGCCCAATGGCCAATTGTCAATTCAGGCACACCAATAAAATCGCACTCGCACCCTGTGCGTTATTTCTGAACTCGGCCCTGTTGTATTCCTTTCACACCTAGGAGGAGCTCGCATTTTTTTGACATTGCTTCGACAATTTGACGTTTGATACACGCATGAAACGTCAAATTGTCAACGCAATGTCAAAAAAATGCGAATTTCGCAGTACTAGCTGCTTTCAAGCTGTGTGCTTCAAGCACGGTGCAGCACACTGTTCTGTTTTTGAAACGCAAAAGTTAGCAGCTTTCGAAGCGCAGTACGGCTGGAACACGAACACGCGCTTGAAGCATTTGCGCGCGCAAAAGCTAGATTGCGTGCTCAAAAGCGTCAGCTGGAAAGCGGCTCATGAGTACTAGGCTTTATGCGCTTATTGCTTGCGAAAAATGTTTGTTGCACCATGCATCTGTTTCTTTCAAATCGGGGGCGACTAACACCGGAGCGAGTAGCTCGAGTGTTTCAGACTCTTGAAAGGAACACAACTATTGGCAAAATAAACCTTTACATACGTGGCGACAATAGAGGTCCCGCCGCCATTTCGTGTCCAACCTCTTGCTACTATTAAATATGAATATATAGGAGTTAAATGGACATCCATTATAAAAAATTGAAAACAACGTATTTGATGTGACTAATTATAGTCATCGGATACGTTTTTTTCATTTTTTTATGATGGATATCCATTTAAATCCTATAAATTCATATTTAAAAGTCGCAAGAGGTTGAGCACGGGCGGCGTTTTCCATATGAATATATAAGATTTTGAAGAACCAATCAAAAAGAATACAGCAATTGTCGCCACTGTGGTAATGGGTACATTCAGGCGGTACCAGCGGCTAAGCTCAGCCACTCAGCAGGGACTTTATTCTCGAAACCAAGGAACAGCGTTCTCATAAGAACGATTGCTCTGTCATTGTTAGTGTTATGCCGGACGACAAGGACAGAAACTTCGTTCCAATGAGAGCGCTGCTCCCCTGTTTCGAGAATAAAGTATTCCTGCTGAGTGGCTGAACTAAGCCGCTGGCACCGCCTGAATGTACCCAATGGGTCTGTTTCTGCAGAAATCACAAACCAGTCAGAGTTAATTTCATTGGTAGAAACTAGCTTTCTGACTATTTTCAACCAATGAAATTTGCACTGACTGGTTTGTGATTTCTGCAGAAACAGACCTAATAGTCACTAGTTGTATTTCTTTCACACCTAGGAGGAACTCTGGAACAGCTCCGGGGCGTTACGCGTTCATTCCTCTCGAAAAGTGTTTGTTGCACCACGCATCTGCTCCTTTCAAATCGGGGGCGACTAACACCGGAGCGAGTAGCTCTAGTGTTCTAAACTCTTGAAAGTAATACAACTACCTAGGCAGGCCCTCAAGCCAGGCCATTTGTTTTTGAGGTTGGGAAAATATAAACAAGATTTAAATTTTTTTGCCCTTGTAACTTGAAAAATTGCAATAAAAGTAATTTTACGAAAATAGATCAGAAGTATTGACAATTTTTAAAGAAAAGGTCAATATTTCCTTCCACCTAGTTGTGAAAAAAAGGTAACCGTAAGAAAATATTCATTAATTCATTGTGAGGAAATACATATTATCATTTCCTTAAAGAAACAAAAATGATTGAGAACAATTTTATTTTTGAGTGTAATAATATTATGTATTGAGCAAAACAGCTAATAATTTACAGAGCTTACAGAACGTCATGCTCAATATAACATAAACTATAGCTAGTAAAGTGTAACAAAAAAAAAACACATTCTACTTGTTCACTCGCACTTGGTATATCGTATGTATAAATAAAATTAAAATTAATTTTTGTCATAGAACACACAAATAAGTACTTACATCAAGTATGTAAGACAAGACCAAGAACACACTTTGTATGAATAAAAAACCTACATACAGTCAATCAGTACATGATCATTGTCATAAGTAACGCATATTCTTATTGAATCAGGTATATTATAATTGTGGACATTGCTATTATACAGTGTGATTTTTTAAGTGTGCAACATATGGGGATTTTTTTTAGTACTAGCACAACCCAAATACAAACAAAGCCAAAAGTTGGTGCATGTCTGATAATCATATTAGGTGCACTTAGAATTGTTGCAAGTCAAACAGCATACAGGGTAGCTCAAACAATATCAAAGCTGTACTGTGCAGTACCCTTATTTTAGAAAATTCAGCAAGATGTTTTAGAGAAAAGTTGTTTGGAATTAAAAGTTATGCCTTAGTACCAAAATATAGCCTCCTAAGATTTTTTTTATTTTATTTCGAAAAAAATCTTTAATTTCTATATTTTTTTTATTTTTTATTTCCGCCCTTAATACTTTCAAAAATTAATTAAAATCAAATCAATTTTACATAACTTTGATCAAATTCAAGCATATTTGTAAAATTAACTTAGATTTTTAATTTTTTATGGAATGACAAAATTCAAAATGTTGCAATGAAATTCAACACAACTTTAAAATGTCGCAATTTTTTTTTTTAACAAGTTAAAACCGAGGTTAAAACATTAGTAATGATAATAGCCATATTGAAAAAACTCTCCTTAAAGTGCAAAAGTTTTATTTTATTTAAGTAAATATTACTACAGTTTTGATATTTTTTGAGCTACCCTGTATGTTGTTTGACTTGCAACCATTCTAAGTGCACCTAATATGATTATCAGACATCCACCAACTTTTGGCCTTGTTTGTATTTTGATTGTGCTATTACTAAAAAAAAATCCCACATGATGCACACTTAAGTAATGACACTGTATACAAGTTTGGAGGACCTATACAACTGAGCTAAAGAATTTGCCATTCAATGTATGAGAATCATACTCCGGTATTCATGTCCCTAAACCTGGAAAAGCAAGGTCATCAGAACCAAGCAGAACACCAATGTAATTAGGTATACCATAATAAATGCTAAGGAGCATTAAATTTCCAATAAGTGCATTTACTAATTGAAAATTTAATGCTCCTTTATTCTTAAAAAAAAACATGTTCTGCCAGCATTAGATAAAGTAAGCGGAACATGAATTGAAAAATGCACAAATCTTCATGATATTTACATTTAACATTGTTCATATAATTAAATGCTAAGTAAATGCACTAATTGAAAGGTTTCTATTTTAAAGAAAAAACTACAAGTTCTTCCAGCGTTAGATAAAGTAAGCAGAAGATGACTTGTAAAATGTACTTATCATAATAATATCTACATTAAAATAAAATAAAAAAAAATAAAATAAAATAATCTTTATTGCATGTAAAAATTACCATACAAAGGTGGAAAGTACCGCCAGGCGTATTTTAATAACCACCCTTTGCTATAATAATAAAATCTTAAACACTTAAAATTAGAAGTTAAAATTAACAACAGAGATAAACATTAGTTACAATAAATAAAAATAATAATAAAAACAATATCACAAAAAAAAAAGGTCCAGCATCACAAAGCAATTAGCAGTAGGCACCAATTTAAAATTAAAGACTGAGTGATCTATCCGACACAAAGCGTTTTAAATTATTTTTGAAAGAATAAACACTTAGACCCTTGAAATTATGAGGAAGGGAGTTGTAAATTGTCCTTTTAACTAAATGCTAATTAAATCCACTATACTGAGAAACTGCATTTTTTATATGCTGGCGCGGCTTTCAAGAACTCAACCTCTGTTGAAAACATGTATTGTTTAGCTGAGATATTGGAAATGTTTTCCAGATATTGTTATAATTCCATTGGCTCAGTTAATCGGTTTAAACATGATGGACCGCCGCCTCATAATACTCGTCCTGTTTGCAATTTTCTGGAAGAATGTTTTCCAAGAAAATGACTCCGTAACCAAGGGCCCCAAGGGGCAACACCCTGGCCAGAGAGAAGCCCAGATCCTCGCCCAGATCTGACTATTTTAAAATCTTTTCTCTGGGGAACAATTAAAAACAAAGTGTACCCCAGTAACTTTGATAATCTGGAGCACTTGAGAGCCAGCATAAGAAATGCATTCCGCTCCATAACCCAGAGAGATATCCAAAGATCTATCGACAAAATAAGAAGAAAAGTCAACCGATGTTTGCAGTAAAACGGTGATCTTTGTGAACATTTAGAATAGGTAGTTTTTTTTTCAGTTAGAATTTTCCTATTTAAATAGGTAAATTTTTATAATATTGTAATTAGAGGTCTAACTATCATACATAAAGTTGATGATGGTCGGCTAAAGTACTCGCCAAAGACAAAACGTCGCATTTCAAATCTAGCAACACTATCCCGTAGAGGGGAAAAAGTTGCTACAATCAGGTGAATTTTATTTTGAAATATCTATTCAAATAAGCCCCAGGAAGAAATTAAAACGATTTTGCAACATTTCGGTTTTTTCCCTATATCTCCAGAAGTCTTTGGAATGTTGTGAATTTCGAAGCGGCATTTTTTTGAGCAAGAAATTGCGCAACTTTGCGTTCATTTAATTCACCTTGTATCTCGTACCGTTCCTGAGATCCCAATGAAAAGCATCGAATTTGAATCACCCGTATATGTAGTTGAAAATTGCTCATAAACAATCTTCTCAGTAATTTTTTCACCCGTTGCTAACATTTTATTGGTCTCAAATCACTTGCTGTTAAAGCGTCATTCACTTTTTCGAATTTTTTAATGCTCACGGTACAGTACCAGTTTCCAGTGAATAGTTAACTAAATCTAACAGAGGGTTTTTGATACCTTGATTATAGGTTAGGGCTACTTTTGTTGGGTAATTTAAAGACAACTGTCTTCATCTCGACACAAGTCGTCATGCCAAAATCTGTTACTAGATCTACAGGTGTTTTTATTTTTTGTAAACATTCTGTTGTGCTGGTATATCAATTTCTGATATATTTAGGTCTGTTTCTGCAGAAATCACAAACGAGTCAGAGCGTTTTTCATTGGTTGAAAACAGTCAGAAAAGCTCTATCTCAATAAATTGTCTTATTTTCTTCAGATTCACACATAGCTATACTTGTAAATAAAATAAATAATGCTATTTCAAAATTTTACCGACTTGTTTGTACTTAGGTACTTGATAATTTATGTCTTTTTAAATACTTTTCAATTTTTGAAAAGATAGTATGTATACCTCGTAGAAAAAATCACATTCTCGGACTACATGTCTAACGGTCATTGGGGAATGTTCAACTTTTCCTCCTAGGTATACTTACAATAATTGTTATTATTATTATATTTTCACTTTTGTTCCATTTCAGTAGTGAATAAATTAGAGACACCAGAAGTTTGTGATTCAAAATGCCTAGTTGGGACCTAATTCAACCTCAGTTAAGGTCCCTAACAAATCCGGTTGTGTTCTTTGATGTCTCCGTAGGAACCACTGTAAGTGAAGTAACAACATGTTTCCTAGCAATTTTTGTAACTTTGTTTTTGATAAAAGCTACTGTAACCTTTACAATTGTATTTTATATGCTATTATTTTTAGGAAATTGGTAGAATGATATTCGAGTTATTCGCTGATGTAGTTCCGCTAACTAGCGAGAACTTTAGACAACTATGCACAGGAGAGTACAAAAAGGATTCTGTTTCTTTAGGATACAAGGGCGCTGGCTTTCACAGAGTCATTAAAGATTTCATGATACAGGGTGGAGATTTTGTGAATGTAAGTCGAGGAGCAATATAATTAGTCATATTTTTCTATAACAATTGTTTCCAGGGGGATGGTACAGGTGTTATGAGTATATATGGAACATCAACATTTCCAGATGAAAATTTCACAATAAAACATGATGGTCCAGGATTACTTTCGATGGCCAATAGTGGCAAAGATACTAACGGATGCCAGTTTTTCATTACTTGTGCCAAGTGTAACTTTTTAGACAAAAAACATGTTGTGTTTGGTAGAGTTATTGATGGTCTCTTAGTTATGCGTAAAATTGAGAATGTCCCTACTGGGCCTAATAATAAACCTAAGATACCAATAACAATCACACAATGTGGTCAGTTATAATTTTATTTTATGAAAAGACTTACATTTTCACAACACATATTTTAACAATACTATCTTAATTCAGGTGGATTCATCTTAAAGTCTTTTCATAAACTATAATGAGTTTCCATGAACTAACAACTCATAAGAATATACAATTTTACTCCTTTTTTAATTTAATTTTTTAACTATGTATTATGATTTTGAAATAAAACAAAATTAATTGTTTCTTCTGCAGCTTTGATGATTTTTTCTGAGGGTTCAACACATCCCAACAAGGTGGCAAATTGTATAGAAATAATTCAAAGCCTTTTTCTAGGCTAGGTTTTCCACTTTGCTGTTTGATGATTATTGGACCAAATGATGTATTGCATATGCTATGATTTTTTCCATAGAGAAAAAAATTCCTTATAATTATGGTCTACAAGCTTAAATTTCTGAGTAAAGCTGTAATCAACATCATAGTCTGTAACAATATAATGGAAAAAACCTCACTTCATGCACATGACTTGTGAAATGAATCTATTCAACTTTTCAGAATGAAGCCAATTCTTGATTTTATTAAGACCACGATATTAATGAAGATAACGAGCAAATGAGACGAAACTCAATCTATTATAGCACTGCACCCAACAGATCAATAGTATTGTGTCGTCATCATCATCTTCCAAGCATCAATCAAGAAAAGTTTTATTATCCAAAGTAAAAAGGTCTTTAGTCCTGCAAGCATAAAGCAAATGGATCTGTGAAGTAGGCAGGCACACTTGCAGCACAAAAGTTAAATTTTACGTAATCGTTTTACGCTTCGTTAGTGCTTCAATCCTTCAATTAGCAACCCTTGTATTTTTGGAGATATTTCGGTTTTTTGAAATCGCCTGCTTACTTCACACCCAGCGGGAACAAGAGAAGCACCAATGTTCAGTTACAGATAAATGGTTAGTGCTTCAATCCCGAAATTAGCATCCCTTAAATTTTCAGGGATATTTCGGATTTTAGAAATTGCCTGCTTATTTCAGACCCAGCAGAAACAAGGAAAGCATCAACGTTCTGTTACAGATAAATGGTAACTGCTTCAAATGTGCTTTAATCCCCAAATTAGCAACCCTTGAATTTTCAGACATATTCCGGTTTTTAGAAATCGCCTGTTCACACATAGCAGGAACTTTGAAAGCACCGACGTTAATTTGTAGGTAGATGATATTGATTCAATCCGCAAATTGGCAACCCTTTCAACTTTTTCGCAAAAGCGTATAATATTGATAGAGATGGAGAAAAAGTTCAAATTCAAAACACATGACCCTTCGATAATCGATACACTAGTTCAATGCTTCTCAAGTGCTATCTGCGATTCGAGTGATGGCGTTCAACAATTCATTACTGCTCAAAGTGAGCCACCTTTCTTTTTTTTTTCTAAGGAATTTTTGAAATATGGAGCAATCTCTAGAATTAATCAGTTAGAGCGGAACTATAACTCTCAAGAAAACTACTTTGAGGAACAGCTCTACTACTCTCAATTGTATTCAAAATATCTGCAACGTGACTGACTTGTTATTGATAATTACACATTTGTTCTTAAAAATAAATGCCTTTCTCATGAATGTGACTATTTCAAAGAGCAGAAAGTGACGTTATTTGTCTTGGAATTTGAATCGATCCAGAAGATACAAAAAGAAGGATTCTAAAATTTGGAAGTGTTGGTGAAATCATCAAATTGAGAAGATGGAGAGGAAAGTGAAGACATGCTCATGCGGAACTATAGTCAAGAGATGTAGGTATCAACGTGGGTTCTTTGTTGATTTTGGACACAAACAATTGTGTGTGGTACTTCGGTAGCGAAAGATATTCTAGAAGTTCTTAATCTTTTCGGGAAGGCTTAAGGTGCCTACTCACACAGGGAATAAATGAAAACTTGAATGCGCACGTCACGGGGTACAGTTAAAACTCACTGAGTGGGTAAGCGAAGCGTGTAGCGTGCACGGTATGTGCGCACAGTTAAGGGCGAATTCTCATGAGCGTAAGTTGACATTTGCGTATCACGTGATAATATGGTGTAGTTTGATTGGTAGAATATCCAACATGGCGAATATTTTACCAATAAAACCCAACCATTTTATCACGTGATTACGCCAGAAATGTCAACTTACGCTCATGAGAATTCGCCCTAAGTCGTTAGGAATCTAGCGCTGTTTGGTTTTTGCATGTGCAGTTATGACTGCACTCAAGCCCACGCATTCCTCCCTCTGTGTGAGTGGGCACCTTTTACGTCCTAAGAAGTGTTGGACATTTCATGGAGCCAGCTGCCGGCATCGTGGGAGTTCTTTGACAATCGAGAAAAGCAACACAGAACTGTTTCATCCACAAATCAGTTTAGTCCGTATTTACTAATTTACACTTTTTAATCTTTTGTATTATTTGTTTTATTTTTGTTCCAATATTTTAATAAATTATTTTCTAATTTTCGTTTGAGATTATTATTGTTTTTATTTTTTTTTTCAAAATACAATTAGGTATCTCCTATTTATATTTATATAATGTCATTTAACGACCATATAATAACTACGATACAGGATACACAAGAATAATGGGATTTGTGAGAAATACCAAAAAGTTTAGTATTGATGTAAGCCTTAAGCTTTTCGACACTTTAGTGCTCCCGAAACTAGAGTATAATAGTATTATATGGTCACCACAGTATAATTTATAGATATCAGTTATTGAGGGAATACAGAGGAAATTTTTAAAGTATATGTTTTTTAAGAAGTTTTGTTTTTATCCTGAACAAGGCTGTGATAATGGAATTTTATTATGTATGTTCAATAGGATGCCTTTGGAATGTCGTAGAATAAAAGCATGTTTGTGTGCTACGTTTAAGTTGTTATAGGGAAATATTGACAGTCATGATATACTCAGTGAATTGCCGTTTGTAGTAAATAGAATGAACGTTAGAGATAAGAAAGTGTTTTACATAGATTTCCCTAGAACAAATTTATTTAAACAATCACCTATATATCAGATGTGTCAATTGTTTAATAAGTATGCTTCTGACGTAGATATAGACATGGTTAGCTTTTAGCTTAAGGAATTTTAAGAATATTATTGATGATAAATTAGTGTCTGAATTTTTATTTTAACTTAGTTTTAACTATTGTAGTTGTATTTCTAGACTAAGCAAATGTCTGTAATTGGATGTTTGGCTGTTGATGCTTATGGTAAATAAATAAATAAATTTAGTACTGATCTGTAACATTTGTGATAAGATGAATATAACGGCTGATCAAAAGAGAAACTTAGGCCCGGTTTATTCACCTTCTGATAAACTATCAGGTATATTATCTAACGAATAAAAACGCAATTTGATTTGATTTGATTTGATTTGATTTGCAATCCATAATCCTATTGGTCGGCCAGTTATTCATCGACCAATAGGATTATTGATTGTCACATTAGTCTAGTAGAGTTACCCGTAAGTTTATGGGAAGATGAGTAAACCGGCTTAAGCATTAGGAAGCACTTCGTACCTACTAAGTATATTATTTATAAGTAATTCAGACCAGATTTTATGGTGTTCATATTCTCGGTTCACAGTACTGGTGGGGTGAAATCAGCAGGCGACTGCAAAAAGTCGAAATATCTCTGGAAGTATAGGAGTTGTTAAAAGCTGAGGTGGTGTATCATGAAGCACTCTTTAGTGCTTTGGAGCACTGACCATTTATCTACAACTGTGTAGGTACTTTTAATGTTTTCGCTTTGCTTCAAACAGAGCATGCGATTGCGAAAAGTCGAAATATCTCTAGAAGCGTAAGAGTTGTTAAACATGAGGTGATGCATCATGAAGGACGAACCATTTATCTACAACTGAATGTTGATGCTTTTCATGTTCCTGCTGGGTTTGAAGTAAGCAGGCGATTTCTGAAAGACGAAATATCTCTGAAAATATAGGGGTTGCTAATTTGGGGATTGAACCATATTGAAGCACTAACCATCTATCTATAACTAAACGTTAGTACTTCCAAGTTTTTTTGGATAAATGGACCCAAGATTTCTGTCAGGCACACCAGGGCCGTGAATATTTATTCCTTTAGGCATTATTATTCTATAAGTAATGCTGTAATAAATTATATGAAAATATGGAAGAAATATTTAAAAAAGAACGAATTTATTATTTCAACTGTACAAAAATTAAATAGTTTTAAGTCATTTTAATACAATTGAATGGGTAATAGGAACAAGTTCCAGCCAAACAAAAACCATTCATGTTCAATGTCGAATAATTTCTTTATATTAAACTAATTCCTCTAATCCTGGTTTCTGTTGAAATCTTCCACCTCTTTGTTTTCTTGGCTGTTGGAAATTATTGTTATTATAATTCTGTTGCCCTCTTGATTGGTAATTTTGCCTAAAGTCGAATCTGGCATAAGGGTCGCCAGTATTTGTCGGAGGTTTTTGAATTTCCAGGCATAGTTGTTCATTTAGCGTCTGAAAAGAGATTAGCTCGTGATAAGCAATAGATAATTAACACTCTTACCGTATTATTGATGTGTCCTTGTTTCTCGAAAATCTGCTTCAGCCTGTTAAACTCCAACGTCAACTCGGGATTATCCGACTTTGAAACAGCTTTTTCAATCTGTTCTATAACATCTCTATTAAATGTATGCACTTGTTGTCCTAAAACGACAATAACCTGTTAGAATTATAGACACAATACCTAATTTTTCAACAACCACCAACTAAACTGGACAACTTTGAAGTCAATATTATTAGAATATTTGATATGAGTATATGTATACAAATTATTTCTTAGTTATTTTTCTAATTAAAAATAAGTTTAAAGTTACCCTGTTGCAGATCATCAGAAACAACATTTTTCAAAATAGGCAGAACATCCTCGAGTCGGCCGATATCCGCTAAAGCTGCAACTCGAATATTTCTCACAGTTGTGTAATTCTGGTTTCTAGCACTGCATAAGATTTCTAGAGCGATGTCAGGTTTGCCCTGGTTGACTGCAAGACAAGCACAGAAAGTGGTTGCCCTTCTCATTGGTTGATGGCCACTTTCGGTTAAACGGGACCACAGATTTAGTGCATAATCCAGAGATTCTTGGTTATTCTAGATAACATATTTATAGTGAAGTTAACAAACAAACTTCAAAAAATATAAAGTCTTACCAATTTATAACAGGCAGCCATTGCCAAAACTACAACATTCTTTGGATATTTGTGCCCTTCCAGCTGTTTTTCTACTATGATTTCAAACATTTCCAACAACTCTTTGAATTTGCCGTTTTCATAAAGCAAATCGAGCAAAATTTGAAAGGAAACATACTGGTCAAACAATCCGGACAATTCTTCGGATCTAAAACACTAAATAAAAAATTTGCTTGAAATGCAACAGTTAGTTTAGACCTTGGTTTAGACGAATCAGAACAATTTCAAAGATATAATTGAATAAGCACCAGGATATAAAACATTAAGTACATAAAGTATGCAATACAAATTGAAAGGCAATGCAGCTCAGACTGAACTGGCCTGATATTTAGGTATGCCTGTGTAGAAATAACAGAAAGCTTGGATCATTTGGATTGTCATCAAAACATAAACAGAATGTTTATCAGAATTACAAAAATATTCCAAACATGATATAAAATAAATCTACTACTTAAAGAAAATGCCCCAGTTTGACCCAGAGCAAGAACAATTTGGATACAATAGCCGCTTTCCAGCTGTGTGCTTCAAGCACGGTGCAGCACAGTGTTCTGTGTTTGAAACGCAAAAATTAGCAGCTCTCGAAGCGCAGTACGGCTGGAACACAAACTCGCGCTTGAAGCATTTGCGCGCGCAAAAGCTCCATTGCGTGCTCAAAAGCGTCAGCTGGAAAGCGGCTAATGCAGCAGTAAAAAGCTAGTGAATATAAATATTTGAAAAAATTGAAGAAAAAAATTAATCCATGTAATCTAGGAGTTGAATTATCCAAAATTAAATATATCCATAAAACCAATAAATATAATAGGGAAAAATGGAAAATGTGTGGTAGTGAGTCAACACTCAACACTAATTTCAGTCCAAATTTATTCTTTATGAGTCTGAGAGTTCTGAGACTATACAATACAATGAACTGCCAAATGAGGATAAGTGCTGTGATACCTTGGTGGAATTCAAAAAACTATGTAGAAGATATACTAAGTAAGAAATTTTTTTTTGAAAAGATGTATGAAAAATTTGTAGATATTTACTTGAAATATTTTGAATATGTTTTTTTTATCTGTATGTTTGCTTAGCCCAGTGCTATTAAATAAATATATAAATAATATAAAAGTTATATTATTAAAGATACAACCTCTACATTAGCACATGCTAAAATTTATACTTGTATTGATTTTCTGTTAGGTGCACTACTTGTAGGTAAGGTTGGAGAACCTAGTAAAATTAACCTTGTGCTCTGTAATTTGTGTTACAAGGTAGGTATAACAATATATATTTTTAGATTCTATTTTACTAAAATTAAGTGTCCTACCTCGACAGCTAAATCCGATTTATTGTGAAGGTAAAGCATCCGCATGACAACAGGGCCAAAAATATAGTTGCCAAATCTTAAAGATTTATTCTGTTTGTTGTACCTAAAAAAATACTGGTTAATAGGTTTAGACAAGGGTTTAGATAACTCTCAAGATAACTCTATCAATTAGTGTCCAAAGCGCGGTCCAAAGATAATAATAAATGTATTTATTCTGCACACATAAGCTCTCTAAAAAGCTGTTCAATTTATCTAGAACCCAAAAAACTTATTCCTTTTGGAATCAATTGTGCATGATCAACTTGAGCATTGGTCAAGCCAGACCAGAAGAATATAAATATGAAAAATTTATAAAGCAGTATCCTTGTCTAAAAACATTGAGTCAGACCCGAGGTCAGACCTTTCGATACTGACTGCATGTGCTGCTCAAATGCTCAACAATCTAATTGCTATGGAAATTTTAGGCCTAGAGTGGATACCGATTTTGTCAACAATATCAATAGAGTATACTCCAATGAGGAATTCTTCTTACCTTTTCAACATTTCCACAACCAACCCGACATCCTGATCAGTCTCAGCAATGTGAATCATATTTTTCAAGTCTTCAGTAAAAATCATATTTTTTGACTCCTCAGACACACTTTCAGACATTTTTTCTCTAAATTTATCGCCGATGCTAGACATTTGAAGTTTAATACGTTGTTGTTGATGCTCGAACCCATCCAGGCCCAGAGCTGACTTGGAATAGAGATTCCTTATATCTGAAATATAATGTGTATATGTGTACCAAATATGGTTGTATAATTTTATTAATTGGTTTGGAAGATGTAGGCCCTAGTGCCAGTTTGTTTGTAAACTGTTTTTGGGTAATAAATAAAGCTATTTAAAAAAAAAGAAAATATAAAGAAAAAACATCCATCGACAATCTCAACTGCTGGAATAGAGAATGAGCATTTTCAAGTTAATTTCGGAGTCGAATATTTTGCTAATTGCCAACTAATTAAGTATTAATATGCGGTTTGCCAGCATGAGAATTTATTTCTGAGGAAAACATTATTTCTCAAATTTTAAATAAAGTCTTTGCACCAAGAGGTTTCCCATGAGATGTAAAACTCTGCATGGCCATAAATCAATTGTGCGAATGAATTTACATAGTAATTTTTGAGCTAGGTAAGTTAACGATCAATACTAACCTATGATTTTAGATAGAGCAGCTTTAAAAAATTGTACACCAGTGCATAACAGTGATTAGTGAAATAATCTGCTTACAGCTATTTGCACCGCTATAACTTAAGGGATATTTAATCCAAGTGGAGCTTTGAATGTGACTCTTGTAGAAACAAAAGTCACATTCAAAGCTCCACTTAGATCAAATATCCCTTAAGTGATAGCCATGCAAATAGCCATTAGTATCACTAGTATCTAGTATCATGCAGGATCCAAAAGTATTACCTGATTTGCATGCTAAATTAACCCTTAGGAGTTAGGGTACGCACAAAAAGAAAGCAGGTTAATCATCGCCTATAAGTCCGTGCCTACAAGTCTTCTCATTAGTACACAAAGAATGCCGGTTTTCGGCCAGTTTAGACGCAACTTCCATACTACAAAGATGTTTAGTTCATTAGTTCATCTTCAGATAAAGACTTTTTATTGAAGGAAGATACATTTCTTAGGATGATGGAAAGCACAAAGCAAGGTATACACCCAGTAAATCGTAAACGAAAAACTTTATGGTGAATTGAATATCACCATTTATTTCTTCTGCAGTATATTCCTGTTGCTGTGGGACTTAAGTTGTTTGCCCCACAATGCATTTCTTTGAAAAATCGCACAAATCAGTAATTCAACATCCAATATCGATGCACGTCCAGCTCCGACCAGCGAACAAGAACTACAAATTCATTCCGGTAAAAAGTAGGCGCCGATTTTCACTTGCAACAAGCACCGATCTGCTTTGTCTGTGTGCGGGTGCATTTAAAAGTGGATTCAATTATTGGTGCTTATAAGAGCTTGTTACTAGCAAGCAGGTAACCTGCTTTCTTTGTGTGCGTACCCTTAGTTCATGGATATTGAAACTTGTGAAAACGTACTTTACTATTTGTTTGATGATTATGTAATATAATGGAATAAAGAAAATAACAGATTTACCTTGTGCATAAATGGAAGCCAGTCCTATATTTTTGGTCAAAATATTTAGAACTAGCGGTTTCCTCAGGACTGAAAATAGCGTATTTGCCATTTTTTTAACGTTTTTTACACTAGATGCAAAGAAATTATTTAAAGGAAAATGTGTTTTTTTAACATTTGTTAGACAAATTTTGTTTTGAGGTTAACAAGCATAATGTCAATGTCCGAACTTATCAGAATATGACTCATGTCGCTGCACTCACACTAGTGCGTACGATTTGTCTGAACCGGTTAGCGTTAGTGCGGTGCAGTTATGTTTTGGAACGCAATCATCTAAACTTACTGGGAAAATGGAACCCTGAGCGGTACGAATGGTGTAAAAAGTGCGACATTAATGACGGGTCAGGATAAAAAGAGTCAGTAGTTGGGACTTATCGTACGTACCTTACAAAGCCTAGGTACTCATAAATGCGAAATTCGCACTTTTTTGACATTGCTTCGACAAATTGACGTATTAAGGCCGGGACACATCTATCATACATTCCTCCGATCCGATCCCGATCATACAATCAAGGTCCTTATTTTTGGAACAGGGGAGTAGCGGAACACTCGTTCTCCTGCGAACGCTGCTTCCTGTTCCAAGAATAAGGACCCTGATTGTATGGTCGGAGTCGGATCGGAAAATTGCATGATAGATGTGTCCCGGGCTTTATGCGTGAATCAAACAAAAAAGGCTTTAAGGATTGCTTATCGGCCTCGTTTTTGCTAAATGTGTATTATCCTTGATGTCGCTGCACCTTTTTTTTTCCTTCCCATTTTAGCCGCGTTCTTTTCACTTCTTCGAGCGACTCCGAGCAATATTCTTGGCTCCGAGCGTCTCTTTCCAGATGGTGCCTTTGACTCTCGAGCTTCCCCTGTTACCCTTGAAGCCACACTACACTGGTTGTGGTAGTGCTTGTGAATCCAGAAGCAATTCTATAAACTTCAAGTGCACTAAACACTTCCGATGCGTTCGGGTATTGTAATTAGGAGCTAAAGCAACAACTCCACATGCGTTCGGGAAGGACGTGCGGAGTCAAGAGAACTCTGACTCTGAAAGCACCACCTCGTCCTTAGGAACTGCCAGAGCGGACATGCGCAGTGTATTTGTTTTCGTGGCATCACCACTGATCTCAAAAATAAATGTATAAACAAAAAACGCTTCTAAGGGCGGGTATTATAAAACTACTTTGAAAGTTAACTTAAAGTTAACTTCTGAAAATACATGTAATTCAAAAAGTTAACTTCAAGTTAACTGTCAAAGCAGTTTTATAATACCCGCCCTAATGCTGCTAATTTACGAGGTCAAAATCTAAACAAAAACAACTGACGGGGACAGCTGTGAGCGTGCGCAGTAGATACATGTTTTGTGCGTGCACAAAATCTGGCCAATGAAAATGAAGGAATTTCAAAATTTAGAACAGTTGTTCGAAAGATAAGACACTGCGCAGGCGTGAGGCTGTTCCGTTGCACAACTGTTCGTAGAATATTGGCCCCAAATTTTCGCACAAATTTTGCCAATCAAGCAGTATGAATTGTTTATCCATTTATTTTTTAGATCAGTGGGCATCACTCATCTATCCTATTTTTGTTTGCGACAGTCAACAATTCAATATTTCATCTGTAATTAGCCTGATAAATGGATGGAATGGATTTTAAACTGCTTAATTGGCATGCGAGCAACAGTAATAGTTGTATTCCTTTGAAGAGTTTAGAACACTACAGCTACTCGCTCCGACCCCGATTTGAAAGGAACAGATGCGCTGGTTTTCGTGCATTTAAGGCCCAGTTGTACAATCTTGGTTCAAAACAGGGTTCAGCTGAACTCGACTGGTACTTGAACTTTCCCATTTGAAATGCATTGATGTCAAAATTGATGATTGAATTTGATTAATAACTGACAGCAAATATATTTTAAATGGGAAAGCTCAAGTACCAGTCGAGTTTAGCTGAACTCTGTTTTGAACTGAGATTGTACAACTGGGCCTTAAATGCACGAAAACCAGCGCATCTGTTCCTTTCAAATCGGGGTCGGAGCGAGTAGCTGTAGTGTTCTAAACTCTTCAAAGGAATACAACTATTACTGTTGCTCGCGTGCCAATTAAGCAGTTTAAAATCCATTCCATCCATTTATCAGGCTAATTACAGATGAAATATTGAATTGTTGACTGTCGATTACTCGAATAGTCGACTGTCGCAAACAAAAATAGGATAGATGAGTGATGCCCACTGATCTAAAAAATAAATGGATAAACAATTCATACTGGCACTTCAGGTACAACAAACACTTTTCGAAACGAATAAGCGCGTAACGCCCCGGAGCTGTTCCGGAGCTCCTCCTAGGTGTGGAAGGAATACAACTGGTCACTAATCATTGAAATTTTCAATCGAACACTTAATAAATGATCCTCTTCTTCTTCAGACAACTAGACAAGTCTCCGAAATAAACGTCTTTAACAAAATTAAATATAGACACCAAATACCCAAAGTTCATTCTGTTATTTTTGTATTATGGAATGTAACACACAACCAAAAAAATATCAAAAGAAAAGACGTAGAAAAATGTTTATTTTTAGTAATTTGTCAGCTGTTGGGGTTAGTTTAGTTTAGTTAACAAACTCTAAAAGCAGCAAAAGCACCCTGGCGGTTCGGTATTATTAATCAGATTAATCAGAAGCACTCTGGTCACGTGATAAAAACGCCACTCCAACTCTACTCCAGCTCCGCTCGGCCATCGCGAACCCAGCTAAAATGATATATTTGGGAGTTACTCCGAATGACTACGAACGAATAGTTCCGGAGCTTCTGACTCGAAAGAAAAGAGGATTGGAACAATTGACCATTACTTACCTTGCGTTCCGTATTTTGCTCAAAGAGCAGAGCGTGCTGAGCGGAGCCGTAATCACGTGACCAGCGAGCGAACAGAGCAGTTGTATTATGCGAACGCGAATGAGCCTGCACCGACAGCACCGAGTACACTTTTTAAATAAACGAACGGTAAATTCATGCTCGGAGAACTTGATCTGAGTTCTTCCGGAGAACTCAGATCAAAATACCGAACGCACGGTTAGGTCAGGAAAAATCGGGCGCGAAATTAGAAATGGGTTTCTAAACAGTAAACACATTTCAACAAAGTTAACAGCAATGCATTTCTTATGAGGGATTCAAAAGAAAGGCTAAGGGTAAGCACATAGTGGAGCGACGAGCAAAGTAGTGAGCAGTGAGGAGAGCAATGCAGCGAAAACTAACACACGAGATTAAATTGTTTGACACATAGTGAAGAGCAGTATGCGGAGATTTAGCAGCGCTGTTAATATCAAGCAAGGCGACACGTTCAAGCAAGTTTGATTTTCCTACTTTGCTCGTTTGTCTCTGTGTTGTAAAAATGTACGTTGAACAATTAATAAGTAGTATTTTTGTTATATTAGATAAAATGTGGGATGATGTAGCAGGAGAAATGAAGTCAACAAGTAAGTGAAAAATGTATTATATTATTAATTGATTGATTGCTGCTGGGTGAAATTTTTCTGGATGTTGCTGGAATTCCTCATATAAATGGTGATATATTCGCCTAATCGAAGTCTGCTTCTGTTTATATGGTGTGCACTACACCTTCTTTTTTTCTTTCTGTGTCTTTTCATTAAATAGCAAATTTTTAAAGACGACGCCGACGTTTCAGTTAAAACCAAATTATTCATTTTTATCTTTTTCACTCGAGTATTAACTCGCCCCTATGTGCATACAATTCTTTCATCCACTCTCTGCTCACTTGACGCTCTGCTCTCCGCGCTGCTCGCTGCTCTGCTTACCGCTCCACTATGTGCAGCGGGGAGAGCAGAGCGTCAAGTGAGCAGAGAGTGGATGAAAGAATTGTATGCACATAGTGGCGAGTTAATACTCGAGTGAAAAAGATAAAAATGAATAATTTGGTTTTAACTGGAACGTCGTCTTTAAAAGTTTGGTATTTATTGAGAAGACACTACAGAAAGAAAAAAAGAAGGTGTAGTGCACACCATCAGAAGCAGACTTCGATTAGGCGAATATCAGCATTTATATGAGGAATTACGGCAACATCCAGAAAAATTTCACTCTTATCTTCGAATGAATATTAAAACTTTTGATTACATCTTGGAGAAAATAGAACAAAGATTGGTAAAAAAATGGACTAACTTTAACATAAACCCAATAGACCTCTCTATTTTACCAGACAAAGAGGTAATAATACGAAAACTTCATTAATTAAAAAAAGACACAGAACGCTGATTGCGCAAGACGAGGCAAAACGTACCAAATTATGTTAGACTTACGTCTAGCAATCCGTCCTTCTTATTTGCACAGGATAAAAAGGAAAGATGAAAAACCGCGTGTTGTGCAAGGTATTTGTCAATGAAAATGTCAAACAACTTTTGAATGACACTTGTCAAGTTGAATATCAACTTTAGATTTATTCTTGTCAGACCACGTGCAATGAACAAGGATAAAGAGATGCCCAGCGTGCAAAACGATCACCTCACACCTGTATTAACTAGCCAATAAAAAGACATTGCCTCGTGTTGCGCGCGCATATCAGGTAAAAATAGATAGGTCTATTGGTCCAGCGGCAATCCATTAATATTATAATACATTTTTCACCTAATTGTTGATTTCATTTCTCCTGCTACATCATCCCACAACTACTAATATAACAAAAATACTACTTATTAATTGTTCAACGTACATTTTTACAACACAGAGACAAACGAGCAAAGTAGAAAAATCAAACTTGCTAGAACGCGTCGCTTTGCTCGATATTAACAGCGCTGCTAAATCTCCGCACTGCTCTTCACTATGTGTCAAACAATTTAATCTCGTGTGTTACTTTTCGCTCCTTTGCTCTCCTCACTGCTCACTACTTTGCTCGTCGCTCCACTATGTGCTTACCCTTTCCCTTTCATCTTATATGCAAATGTATATTATAATTATATATACCTATATCTATATATACATATTATATGTACTTGAATATTTATATCAGAATACAATTTATTTGTTCATATACCTATGTATACAGGGTGTCCCAGAAGGTTTTGCCCAGGTGATATTTTCGAAACGCGTCATCGGATGTTCCACTTTCTAATTTTTTATCATTTTCTTCAACAAAGGCTTAACAAATATGGCACTGCCGAAAAATGCCATATAATATACCATAAGTTGTAACCTCTAGATATAAATCCAT